TGGGGCGCGGGGCGTGGGCAGGCTCGGAGGGGCTGCCCTGCCGCATTAGACAGGTGTGCGAGGGCGGTGTGGGGCCCGAGCTGTAGCACTGCCGGGCCCAGCACGAGGAAAGGACCCGACAGCTGCCCAGCCAGAGAATCCGAAGTAATTCCGAACAGTGAACGGCCGTGAGGAGGCTGGCTCCCAGTGTCCGTCACCGTGGGGAGAGGAGAAGACAGCACGGTGCACCTGGTGCACCCTGCCCACCTGGCGCCCGGGCGCTTCCTGTCAGCCCTGGTGCACGCTGCCCACCTGGCGCCCGGGCACCTCCTGTCAGCCCTGGTGCACCCTGCCCACCTGGCGCCCAGATGCTTCCTGTCAGCCCTGGTGCACCCTGTCCACCTGGCACCCGGGCGCTTCCTGTCAGCCCTGGTGCATGCTGCCCACCTGGCACCCGGGCACTTCCTGTCAGCCCTGGTGCACCCTGCCCACCTGGTGCCCTGGGAAACTAAGCCAACCCCAGGAGAACTAGGCCAACAACAGGAGACTAAACCAAGCCCAGGCAACTAAACCAACCCTGAAAGACTAAACCAACCCTGGGAGACTAAACCAACCCTGGAGACTCAGTCAAGCCTGGGAGGACGCCATTTGGGCAGCGCTAAGCAGGAGACAGAGGAGGCCTTGCAGAGCAGGCCGGGCCCTCACAGGACACCTCGCTTCATCAACAGGAGGAGAACATTGGGTGTGTGTGCATGTGATCCCAGAGCCAGAGGGGGCCTCTCGCACACCAGCCGTGGTCTAAACACTCGAGACGCCCACACACCTCCCTTGCAGCAAGGCTCACCGTCCTTCCACGCTCCTCACCCATTTCTTCAGCAACGACCTGCCTCATGGGGACTTTGGTGCCTGACCCACATTCTAGAGCTCCCTGGCACCGTGTCCACACCCTGGAGGTCCCTGCGCTCTGTCCACACCCCAGAAGCCCCTGCACCGTGTCCACACCCCAGGGGTCTCTGCACTGTGTCCACAGCCCAGAGCTCCCTCGCACTGCGTCCACACCCTAGATGTCCCTGGCACTGTGTCCACATTCTGGGGGCTAATCACACAGTCTGCAGCCTGGACCCGGAAGCTGGAGAAGCACGCCAGGCGTGTGTACATGGGCGGTGGTTCCGACTGAGCCCACTGTCGACTCTGCACACGGCAGTGGGCCCAGGCCGAACTAGCAGCTCCAGCCTGCCAAGGACACTGTCCTAATGGTTTGAGAAGATGCCTCTGCAGAGCCCAGGAGGCTCGAGAGGCTGCATGGTGAGGGTGGGAGGGAGCCATCCTTGTCCCTTCCCTGAGGTGTGGAGGGTGCACGTCCAGCCTCCAGGTCTCCTGCTCAGAGCTGTGTGGAGTGGGGGCAACGTGGAGTCCAAGTCTTCTACCCTGACCTAGCAGCCCCTGGGGACCCAGAGAGGCCAAGCCGTGGAATGGCCCTAGAGCAAAGTGTGGTCCTACCGTGGAACCAGGGGGCGATGGCCCTGGTGCTCCTCTCGAAGCCAGCCCTGCGTGGCAGCTGCTCCTCTTTGAACCAGCGGACGATGGCCTCCCTGGAGACGGGACGCAGGGGGCGCTCCCACGTCCTGCTGGGGGGCAGGGGCAGGAGGGAGGGGTGGCGCGGCAGGGAGTGCGGGTGAGAGAGAGGGAGGGTAAGAGAGTGGCGAGCCCACGCCGCATTCATGCGTGAGAAGGCCACGAGCCAGGCTCTTGAGGCTGGGCACACTGCACTGCCCCAGCTGTCAGGGCCCGTGCCGGAAGGAAGGTGCTGTCACTGGCTTCAGAAAGAGCCACATGGTTTGGAGGGACAGGAGGACAGAAGTCCTTGGGAATCGCTAGTGTGGACATGCCAGCCTCGCTGACCAAGGCCCTACCGGGCTGCAGCAGGCCACCCACACATGCCTGTCGTGCCCCTGCCCTCGATGCCCCCTTGGGAGACGCTGCCCTTCCCGGTACATTTCTATCTGTCGTCATCCTCGCCTGAGAGCGCTCCGCGTGGGGCGTGGCCGCACCGCGGTTCTGCGTCCATCTGTCCCCCGGCAGGACCTGGGCACACACACACACCCAGCGAGATTTCAGGTCAACTGCAGGACTCGAACCACAATTGGCCACGTGGGACCTGCCCACCCACTGCGCTGCGGGCTGGCACCAGCAGAATTGGGACAGAGACGAGTGGACAGAGACAAGTCCAGGATTTGATTTGAGCCTGAGCTCGCCCGTGCAAGAACTCAGAAAACTGGGCAGACCACAGGGAGAGAGGAGGGATGCAAGGCCTGGCCAGCTATGCACAAGGGTCCGTGGGACAAGGACACGGGCCAGGCAGGGCCCAGGAGAGGCACACGAAGAGTTCAGGGAGCGGTGGGGTTCTCGTCCGTGTTCTCACAGGGGTGGAGTCACAGTGCTCACACATTCATCACCCACGGACTGCACACGTGACCCGGCTACTCAGACCACTTTCCGGCTGCACCGAAACAGCACGGACGGAGCTCCACGGTACCCACCGCGGAATACCACGCTGCCCACAGTCAGTGCAGCCAGATGGTCCGCGTTAATTCACGCAGCGGAGATGTCCCACCCCGCTGAGCTGCAAGAGCCCGGTACGTTCCCACGTCACCCTGTCACCCTAACAGCGTGACACTTACCATCGCCACTGTCCTCGTCTCCACTAGATGGAGGAGCTGAGCGTGCCCTGCACCAGCACCTGGGCCTGCAGCTCAGCCCAACTCGCGAGCCCAGACGAGCAGCCCCCTCGGTTTGTCTTTACAGCCCTGAGATGGGTCTACACGCACACACATGCACACGCAGGCGCACACACGCACGTGTGTGCAGCACACTGCAGGTTTTAGCAGAGACTCTGAGAGAGAGACAGAAGGGCGTCTACATCATGCCCTGGGAGCCCCACGCCAGGCTGTCCAAACCCCGTCTGCCCCACGGCCTCTCCAGGCTACTGGGACAGACGACGCGACCACCGGCCCTGCTCATCCCCAGCCGGTCCTCCTGGGGCCTCCTTCCCTGCTCAGCAACCGGGCGCCTTTCCTCCTGGGCAAGCAGAGCCCTGCCCCACATCGCTCTGCACTCCGTCCGTGGAGCGCCTGTGCTGGGACCTCTCCTCTCTGGGACGCACCGTCCTGAAAGGAGAGGTCAGACAGCAAGCCGCTCACTCGCCTGGTCTTTCTGAACCGGAATGTTTCTAAACAGGGAATTTGACTCCCCAGAACAGAAATGCTAGATGGCACTCTGAAGGCCACCGGCCACCACCCTGTAGGTCCCCTCGTCACTGTGTGATGGCCAGCCAGAGCACGGAGCTGAGAGTGGGGAGGCCCCGGTACCTGTCCTGGGCGGCCATGGAGGGTGCAGAGCCTGCACGGTTTCCAGCCCCCCACGCTCTGTGCCCAGGCCCCTCCCTGCTGTACCCCAGGCTCGTGCCCGAGCCCCCTCCCTCCTGTCCCTCAAGTCAGATGAGTCAGGCTGCTTGCTCCCTTCCTTCCATCCCTGCAGCACCCTCATGTGAATCCAGGTGGCAAACACAGGCTTCTTTGAAAACGCAGAGGCGGGACCAGCAGCTGGCCTAATGGCTGTGTCACTGGACTCCCATGTTGTCAAATCGCGGTTCACATCCTGGACCTGGTGGCTTAAACTCACGCCGGGCGTGTGTGTGTGCGTGCCCAAGATCCCGAGAGGAGAATGGAGAAGGGATTGCAGGGTGGCCATCCTCCCGGGGGTGATTTCTCGCTTTCTGTCTCTCTGTCTCTGTCTTTCTGGCGAGTGTATGCCCTATAGCAAAAACCTCTCCCCCTCCCCCAAAAAAAAGAAAGAAAGAAAAAGGAAAAGGAAAAAGAAATAAAATGAAAATGCAGAGGCAGAGAAGCCTCTCCTCCCTGCCCAGGAATCCTAACAGATTTGACCTCATAAAAATCAAGAATAGTCTGCATGACAGAAAATCATATCACATGAGTCAAAAAAATATTAATTATAGACTAAGGGATCCTCTTCCTAACATTTAAGGTGAGCCTAAAAATTGATGGAGAAGAGACCGACCGCACAAAGACACAGGGGCGAGCAGGCGGGCAGGAACAGCGGCCCATGTGCACCCACACTCCCTCTCCTTAGTAAACGGTTTCGGGCCTGCAGGGGCTTGGCAGGTGGGGCACTGGACTCCCAAATAGTTAACCATGGTTCGAGTCCCAGACCTGGCAGTTGGAAACACGCCTGGCAAGTGTGTTTGTGCCCAGAACCCTGGGGGCGGGGGGGGGGGGGGGGGCTC